CTCTCTTTCGTTCTGTGCTGAACACTGGTTTATTTTTATTATTTTCTCGGAATGTGGCCCCAGCTGGGTAGCAAAGCATCCCCCATTCCCAAGGCCCCAATGGAGTTTAAATAGAGTCATTCTTGCTAATTAAACCAGTCGCTGTGATTGCTTAGTTAGGATTGACAGTGTAATCGGAAGTCGGAGTTGGGCATGGCGTTCTCAGATTTTTTTTCTTCTTCTTCTTCTTTTAATTATGAAAATAGATCTCGGCAGAAGATTAAAATTGTGCCAAAGCACCCTCTCTGTTCCAACGCATGCCCTCTCTGTTCCAATGAGTCATGGCCACAATAAAGACCTACAGAGACACACCAGGAGGTCAATAGGGTGATGTGAATTTAGTCAACAGCTTTGTTTTTCCTGGCCAAAATGATAATATTGTGGAGAATGGCAGGGGGAGGGATCCTGGGTATATCAGACCGAGATCCTTTGAGGGTGAGTGAGGCAAACATGAAACAAGGAAACAAAAGCAACGGGGGAGACTACCAAACCTAAGAATATCCTGCAGCAATGAGTTCCAGGCATTAAGATGGGTAGTAGAAAGCAGCAATTATTTTTCTTTCTTTCTTTCTTTCTTTCTTTCTTTCTTTCTTTCTTTCTTTCTTTCTTTCTTTCTTTCTTTCTTTCTTTCTTTCCTTCCTTCCTTCCTTCTTTCCTTCCTTCCTTCCTTCCTCTCTTCCTTTTCCTTCCTTTCTTCTTTTAAAAAGAACTAAAATCTTGTGGGTAGCACAAGGAACTTGAATCAATAACCTCTTAAGATGGCTCCACTAGTTCATTTTCTCCACGTCTGCGGTTTGTGTGTCTTACTTTTTAATTTATTTTGATTTTTTTTAATAACGATTGATTTACATTTTTTACAATGATTGTATTTCTATAATTATTGCTTTTTAATTGCTGAACGCCTCCCCCAGTCATTTCTTGTAAGAATAGGCCGCTATATAAATTTGATAAAATCTATATACTATTAAACTTCTCATTTTCTCGCTGACTTGTGCAGCCTAGAGCAAAACTTTTTCAACCAAGATTGGTTAGTGGAATGGTTAAGACACCATGCTAGAAAATGAGACATTGTGGGATCAAATCCCACCTTAGTCTCAAAAACCAGCTGAGTGAACTTTGGGCCTGTTCGCTCTCAACCCAAGTCACCTCACAGGGTTGCTGATATGGGGAAAATAGGAGGAGGAAGGAATGTTAGGTATGTTTGCCTTCTTGAGTTATTTATAAAAATAAAGATGGGGAAATAAACAAACCAACCAACAGATAAAACTTACAAAATGCCTCCAAAACACAGGGCCTATGACTCCCATGGAAGTGAAATTTGGCAAATTTTATAAGACATTTGATGACACAAAAGTGACCCTAAAACATTTTATGACATAAACCAACATGTCACAGAACATTTCCTGTGACCATCTGCTGAGGTTTGACTGAGCTCTCCAGCAGTTCAACATGGACTACTTTCGAGGCAGTAACATTTCTGAAAACCTCCCTGAATTTTTAAGAAGTTTTCAAGTATATCGGAAGCTCTGCCTTTGTGGAAAACATTAAGGAATCTGGTAAGGAAATACCTCTGAAAGGATGACCCGAGAGGTCACGGGTGGTCTAGTAAATAAATAAAAACATACTCTTTTGAGGAAAGCTCCCAGTGATTGAGTGGTTAAGTGTGGATAAATGTGTGTTCTCTGTTAGATGTGGCCTTTAATTAGTTGGGACTGCGCTGAGGGCATGGATAGTAAACATAGCCCTGTCCGCTCCTTCCTAATCACACACATTCACCTACAAAAGGTTCTTTGGGAGTCGAGACTAGATGATTATTTCCAGTTAGTGCTGTGGAAACACTAATATCCTTCCAAACTAAATTGGGGTGGGTGAAACTTGGGGGTTTGTCAACACAATCTCTTGATTGCATCTTCCACTCAGTCCTCTGAAGAGTGATGGGAGACAATGCACGGATGTTGTGATATCTTTGCAAAGGCAGATATGGAGGGGGGTGCTTATTTTGGGTCTCGGGGATGTGAGAGGCTTTTTCAGAAGCGAATGAACCCATTTCTATCCTTAAAACCTACACACACACACACACACACACACACACACAAAGGCAACACTGCATCCCCAATAATTTTGTTGTCAACATGGCCAACAACAAAAGGCAACGCAGTCCTAAGCTACATTAATAGAGGGAGAGAATCATGATCACGTGAAGTATTAGTACCGCTTTATATTGCCTTGGTAAGACCACACAGTTTTGATCACCACAAAATATTAAAAAAAGATATTGAGACTTTAGCGCAGAGGTCTTCAAACTTGACAGCTTTAAAACTTGTGGACTTCAACTCTCAGTATTCCTCCTCCAGTCATGCTAGCTCAGGAATTCTGGGAGTTGAAGTCCACAAGTTTTAAAGTTGTCAAGTTTGAAGATCCTTGCTTTAGAAAGAGTGCAGAGAAGAGCAACGAAGACAATTAAGGGCCTGGAAACTAAAACATATGAAGAACAGTTGCAGGAATTGGGCATGTCGAGTTTAATGAAAAGAAGGACTATGATATAGCAGTGTTCCAATATCTAAGGGGCTGCCATAGAGATGAAGGGGTCAACCTAGTTTTCAAAGGACCAAAAAGCTGGACAAGAAACAATGGATGGAAACTAATCAAGGAGAGAAGCAACCTAGAACTAAGCAGAAATTTCCTAACGGTGAAAATAGCAATAGCACTCAGACTTATATACTGCTTCACAGTGATTTACAGCCCTCTCTAAGCAGTTTACAGAGCCAGCATTTTGCCCCCAACAATCTGGGTCCCCATTTTACCCACCTCAGAAAGATGGAAGGCTGAATCAACCTTGAGCCGGTGAGATTCGAACTGCCAAAGTGCTGGCAGCTGGCAGTCAGCAGAAGTAGCCTGCAGTACTGCATTCTCACCACTGCGCCACCTCAGTCAACCAGTGGCAACCAGGCTTGCCGCCAGAAGTTGTGGCTGCTCCAACACTGGAGGTTTTTAAGAAGAGATTGGACTGCCATTTGTCTGGAATGGTATAGGGCCTCCTGCTTGAGCAGGGGGTTGGACTAGAAGACCTCCAAGTTCCCTTCCAACTCTGTTATTCTACCGGTATGTTCTGTGTTCATGTGACAAATTCCAGCAGCACAATCTTGGGGTACAGTGGGGCTGATCTGTTTCACATTCCTTCCTTCTTAGCTTTATAGACTAGGGGAGGCATGACAGCAGTGTTCCAATATCTCAGGGGCTGTCCCAAAGAAGAGGGAGTCAAGCTATTCTCCAAAGCAACTGAAGGCAGGAAAAAAAGCAACGGATGGAAACTAATCAAGGAGAGAAGCAGCTCCTTAGTTCTAAGGAGGAATTTCCTGACAGTTAGAACAATTAATCAGTGGAACAATTTGCCTCCAGAAGTTGTGGATGCTCCAACACTGGAAGTTTTAAAGAAGAGATTGGATAACCATTTATCTGAAGTGGTGTTATTCTATTCTATTCTATTTCTATTCTATTCCTATTCTATTCTAATGTATTCTATTCCCTATTCTATTCTATATTCTATTCTATTCTATTATTTTCTATTCTATTCTATTCTTCTATTCTATTATTTTCTATTCTATTATTCTAATCTATTCTATTCTATTATTCTACTCTATTCTATTCTATTATTTTCTATTCTATTCTATTATTCTATTCTATTCTATTATTCTATTTTATTCTCTATTCTATTCTATTCTATTCTATCCTATCCCTAATTCCATTCCATTCCATTCTATTCTACCCTATTCTATTCTATTCTATTCTATTCTATTCTATTCTATTCTATTCTATTCCATTCCATTCCATTCCATTCCATTCCATTCCATTCCATATTTTCTATTCTATTCTATCCTATTCTATCTATCCTACTCCACTCCACTCCACTCCACTCCATTCCATTCTATTCTATTCTATTCTATTCCCTATTCCATTCTATTCCTTATTCTCTTCTCTTCTCTTCTCTTCTCTTCTCTGCTCTGCTCTGCTCTGCTCTGCTCTGCTATGCTATTCCATAACTAATAATATAAGCAAGCTGCTTACCTTTCACTGCAACGGTCATAAATACATGCCAGTTGCCAAGCCCCCAAATTTTGATAGCGTCACTGTGGGGATACTGCAACAGTTGTAAGTGTGAGAATCTGTCATAAATCACATTTTTTCAGTGCCGTTGTAACTTTGAATGGTCGCTAAATGGATGATCGTAACTTAAGGACTACCTGGATCCAGTTTGGGCAGGGGTCTCCAACCATGGCAACTTTAAGCCAGGTGGACTTCAACTCGCAGAATTCTGGGAGTTGAAGTCCGCCAAGGTACAATCATGTCAGCTTCTATCAACCTAAGAGAGTTCATTATGAAAAGATTATGGAGAAGGAATTTCCCATAATTATTAAGTTTATTTTGATTTGCTATCATATTCAATGAGAAAGAAAGAGGGAAAGGAAATGAAAGAAAGAGAAAGAAAGAAAGAAAAAGAAAGAAAGAAAGAAAAAGAAAGAAAGGAAGGAAGGAAAGAAAGAAAGAAAGAAAGAAAGAAAGAAAGAAAGAAAGAAAGAAAGAAAGAAAGAAAGAAAGAAAGAAAGAAAGAAAGAAAAGAGAGGGAGAAGAAAAAGAGAAAAAAAACAGAAATGAGAGGGAGGGAGGGAGAGACCCATTTCCCACAGAAAACACCGGGAGCCACGAAACCTGGGTAGGCATGGCTGGGACTAAATGTGATTAGATGGGAGTGATGTTGAGTTGGCCACGCCAACCCAGGTTTTGTGGCTCCCGGTGTTTTCTATTCTGTGGGAAACGGGTCCAAATGGCTCTTTTGAGTGTCTAGGGTTGTAGACCCCTCGGCTAAAATCCTTTCCCCCCCACCTTCCAACTCTCATCTCAACTCAGGCAACTCCAGCCTGTTGGGTTCCTACGGGAAGTGTAGGGCAGTTTCCAATACTTACAAATGTAGTAATACTCGTGTCCTGGTCTGAATTCGAATCCTAAGGAGAAAGGGGTAAAAAGCTGGAACTTCTCGGAGAACTTGAGGGGCCCATTGGGGGAATCCGGCCGGTTACATTCCCAGCGTTTGAAGCCGTTCTGCCGATGGTCGCAGGAACTGTGTCCCTCGTAGTTGACCATGTACAAAATGTATCTCTCCATCTGGTCCATGGGAAACGGGATCTCATAATGCGGGCAGTATATGTCCAGGTAATCGTTGATGCTGACCTCCACGGTGTAATCCCCTTGGTGGAATCTGCAACAGGAACAGCCAGGAGGAAAAGAAACGATTGAAAAGGAGGGTCTCGAAAACCAGAGTCCAACCAAAGTGTGTGACATTACAAAATACAGGTAGGCCTCAATTTACAGCAGTTCGTTTCGTGACCGTCTGAAGTTACAATGCACTGAAAAAAAACCTGACTTATGGCCATTTTATGACCGTTGCAGCATCGCCATGGTCACATGACCAAAATTCAGATGCTTGGCAAGTAACTCGTATCAGTGTCCAGAGGCCAAGTGATCCACCTTTTGCGCCCTTCTGACAAGCAAAGTCAATGGGGAAGCCGGATTCACTTAACAACCGGGTTACTAACTTAACAGCTGCAAGTGATCCAAAACTCCCTTAACAAGAGGAATGTTGGGCTCAATTGTGGTCGTAAGTTGAGGACAACCTGTAAAATAATTCCAGGGGTGGGTGCTATTTACACACGAGAAGAAGCTCCCACTAAATGCAACAGATTTGCCTACTTATTTAATAATTTATTTAGCTGCCCATTTTGACTTCGGTAGGTTCACCTGGGAGTCACAACAGAACTAAAATAGTAATTTTAGTTATTATAACTAATAACTAAAATAATAATTCCTAATTATATGCCCAAACCTAAACATCTAATATTCATTCTTCCCAGCAGAGGCATGAGAAACTAGACACGATTTATTTATGTATGTATTAGATTTTTATCCTGCCTTTATTACTTTATAAATAACTCATTTACAGCTACTCCAAGTAAAAAAAAAAAAAACGTATAAACTTGTCCTTGTACCTAAAATCCTTGCAGCATCCTTATAGTCAAGTAATCAGAATTTGGGCCCTTTGATAACCAGCATGTATTTATGATGGTTACTTTGTCCCAGGGTGATATGTTTGCCATTTGCTAATTTTCCCAGCTGGCTTCCGACAAGCAAAGTCATTGTGAGAAGTTGGATTTACTTAACAACCATATGATTCACTTAAACAACTGAACTGATTCGCTTAAGAACCAAGGCAAAAAAGGGTATCAAGTTCAGGCGTGACTCATTTAACAACTGCCTTGCTTAGCAATGGAAAATCTGATTCCAATTGTGGTTGTAAATGAAGCACTGCTTGTATTATTGACCAGTTTTACAACTATCTGAATTGCTTAGTATCATCTTGACCCAAAGCTGAGGATTCTTAGATGCCAGACATGCACAGAAATATCTGTGTTACGTCCAGAAACTAAAAACCATATATTTCATTTACTTATTACATTAGTATGCAGCCCACCTCACTATTGCAGTGACCCTGAGCAGCTTATAAAATGATAAAACGGTTTAAAACAAAAAACCAAAAAGATGATACAAAGTGATTAAAATTAAGAAGATTAGATTAAGAAGATTGATGAATGGTTCCCTCTTTAAAAGAAGACCAGGATATTTGAAATGAGACACCCTGGGTGTATTCAAAATGGAAGAACAGAGTAGAGTAGAGTAGGGTAGAGTAGAGTAGGGTAGGGTAGGGTAGAATAGAGGAGAGGAGAAGAGAAGAGAAGAGTCTGAAGGGAACTTGGAGGTCTTCTAGTCCATCCCCCTGCTCAGGCAGAACCTTGAGGACTAGAAACTTCCGAGTGTTATTGGTCCTATTAAGCAACCTACACTATCCGGTTAGGAAAATCAAGTAGAAAATTTTTCTCGTCGCAATTCTACCAATATTGGATTCTGCCAAGCTAGGATTGTCTGACTCATTGGGAAAAAGCCCCAGAGGCCGATCCAAGCTTCTCTGGAGCCCACGTGAGTTCCCTAATCTTCCTCCTTCCCATTAACTTTACAAGATTAAACCAAGCACCTCTTAAAATTAATAAAACGGCAACGGTAGGTGATTAATGGAACGGGAGAGGGGAGAAATCTTTCTCCAACTACCATGCCTGATTAGCCCTCCCCCCACTCTCCCCCTCCCGTATTATATTCAGAGGCACACTCCAATTTTAGGGGGGGGGGGGGTTTAGGTATATTTTTTTGGACAGATTATCCAACAGATTAGAGGATTAGCCAAACTGCGAAGGAGGCATGCTGGTTTTGGGCTGAGGACAGCGTGCGCTGCTTTGCTTAAGACACCATTACTCAGGGCTATTAGGAAAGGCTGGACTTCCGTCCCCTTCAGATGCCTTTCTGGCATTGGCCCCAGCAATTATCTCCCGCTTCCAAATCCTCCTGGTGCCATGTAGGAAAATCCCTCCTCCACCTTTTTAAAATAATAATAATAAAAAGTCTTTAGTTACTTGGATAAGATTTGTTTTAGAAATTACTTTCAACGGCACCGAGAATTCTGATGAAATTCTCACAGTGGAGCAGAGGTGGTATTCAGTGGGCTCTGACCGATTCTGGAGAACCAGTAGCGGACATTTTGTGTAGTTTGGAGAATCGGCAAATCCCACCTCTGACTGGCTCTTCCCCCATCTATCCTCTGCCTCCTGAGTCCCAGCTGATCGGCTGGGTCTTCTTTTGTTGCCCTGCATAGGAGAATGGAGTCTCCACTCCGGTTTTCTTCACCTCCAGATGAGATGGACAGCGATAGATAGATAGATAGATAGATAGATAGATAGATAGATAGATAGATAGATAGAGCTAGATCTCAACTCCTCCAGACTTTGTACCACCACATCAAGGTTGCAAAACCACCAACATATGGCAATATGTTTTCTGCCTTCTGTAAACAGGTAATCCATAAAATACAAAAATACAAACAAAGAAGTCATCAATAAAATGCATTAATGTCGGTCGGAAGTCAGAAGGCTTAAGCATCAAAATAAATAATCAATCAATCAATCAAGAGGGTGGAAAATGGGGCGAAACCACTTTGAGTAGCCATCTGACAATCCTATCTCCAACTATGTGGACATTTGACAAAGCATACCACACTTAGCAATTCTTGGAAGCCCAACCTGAAATAGAGTGCGTGCGTGCGTGTGTGCGCGCGCGCAATTCTTGGCTAAACAGGAATTCTCTCTTCCCAATTTAATAAATTTTCCCCTCCGTTCCAACTGAAATCTTAACCTATCTCGACTTGACTTCACCAGCTGCATTTGTGTGTTTGACAATTTTCTTTACTTTATTTGCGGGAGGGAGGAAGCAGTCTGATCTAGTGGTTACTGCACCAGGCGACAAACTGGGAGATGGTGAGTTTTAATTCTGTCTTAGGCATGAAAGAGAGTTAGACGATTTTTGGGCCAATCACTAGGAGACGGTGAGTTCTAGTCCCACTTTATGTATGAAAGAGAGCTGAGTAACTTTGGACCAATCACCAGGAAATGGTGAATTGTAGTCTTGCCTTAGGCACGAAAGAGAGTTAGACGATCTTGTGCCGATCACCAGGAGGAAACGGTGTGTTCTAGTCCCGCCTTAGCCATGAAAGAGATGATTTGGGACCAATCGGCAGGAGATGGTGAGTTCTGGTCCCACCTTAGGCATGAAAGAGAGCTGAGTGTCTTTGGCCCAATCACCAGGAGACGGTGAGTCCTAGTCCTGCCTTAGGCATGAAAGCCAGCTGGGTGACTTTGAGCCATTCGCCCTCTCTCTCTCAGCCCAAACCCCTCTTTAATTCTGGGACACTGTCCCCTGACTCATTTGGTATGAATCCTAGAAGAAACCACGCAGCTCTTCTGATGTGGTTCTGCCCACATCAGGCCCATTCTAAGGCAGTTATAAACATATATTAGACTTCTCTGGAAGGAATGGAAGATCTATTTTTTCAACATAGCGTCAAGGTCAACTCTTAGCAGCCGCACAGTTAAGTTTTCTCTGTGCCTATCCTGGCCCACCAAGTCTTTGAATGGTGACTCCATCAGCCCTGTAACCGAGTCTACATACTTCGCTTATTGATTGTCTTCTTCCTTCCTTCCACCTCTCCCAACGTTGCGGGCTTCTCAGGGGAGCTGGTTCTTTATATTGATTGACTGGCTGATTGATTGATTGATTATGTGCCATCATGTTGGGGTTGACCGATTAATTGATTGATGATGTGTCATCACGTTGGAGTTGGCTGATTAATTGATTGATGATGTGGTGCCATCACGTCGGGTTGGCTCTTAGAAACCGTGTGGGAAGAACTTCTCCACTAAGTTTTGTCCTTAACTAGGTCCCTTCAGGTCTTTCAAAGTTACACCCATCACACCTGTAACTGAGTTCATCAACCTTGCTTCTGGTTGTCCTTCTCTTTCCTTCCCAACGTTCTAGCAATAGCACTTAGACTCATCTATTGCTTCACGGCCCTCTCTTAAGTGGTTTACAGACTCAGCATATTGTCCGCAACAGCCTGGGTCCTCATTTTACCAATCTCAGAAGGATGGAAGGCTGAGTCAACCAGGTTAGGGTTGAACTCCTGGCAGTAGGCAGAGTTAACCTGCAATACTGCATTCTAAACACTGCATCACAGGGGCTCCTATATTTTTTCTCAGGGGAACTGGGTCTTTCCATTGATTAAATACGTATCATCAAGTTGCCAAATCTCTCTCTCTCTCTCTCTCTCTATACACACACACACACACACACACACACACACACACACACATATATATGGCATTCAGCTTTGTTCGGGTATTTTCCCACGTCATTGTAGTTGTGCTTTTAAAGTTGTAGCAATGTTTCGGCAGAATCTCATCTGCCATCATCAGGCTTCTGTATTGTGTTTGTCTGTGAGTCAGACTTTCACAGCCGTTTCAGTTTTAAATTTGGGGCTAGCCTACTGCTGTGCCAGAATGGTTTTCTTCTTCATCCTGATTGGTCGGGAGTCTTGGTCTATGTTTATACATATATATAAAAGCAAAATACCATTCATGCATCATCACAAAATCTCCAGAACCCAGGGGTAGGATGCTACCGGTTCTGTCCGGCTCTATAGAATCGATAGCTGTGAAGAGCAGCAGACACACAACCAGTTCTGTGTCTGCTGCTGTTTGGCCCGCCCGCCCATCTGGGCTCTTACCTGTCCTTTATTTCCTGCTTTTTCAACCTCAGCTACAT